ATATATATATATATATATATATATATATATATACTCTTTAATAAAAAATATTATAAAAATATCATTATTTTATTTTAAATTGTATCTTTTTAAAAAATAAAAAAGTATTTATTGCAACTTTGACCATAATTAAATCCAAATGATAAACCGGCGTCGTACGAATTTCGAAACGCCGAGTTTTCTCATAAGTTTTGGAACTCCCTAAATGGCCGCCACTAAATATATATAGCACTGTTATTTCCCTTCAAAAATTATTAATTTCTAGTTTTCCACAACCAGGCACTCCCTCCCTCTCTCTCTAAATCTTAGCAAAACGCCAACGCCATAACCAAAACGCAAAACACAGTAATACACTCTCTCTCCCTCTCGCAACGCACCTCCTTCTGTAACTGTAACCGTCCTTCTCCACTCCCTCAGATCTTCGTCGTTCCACGCTTTCCGTTCGCGTTTCGGTTGCTTCCGATCGAAACGCGAGATTCCGTTCGCCGTTGGCCACGACGACGATGCAATAGTAGCAGATGCTGTTGTTGTTGTTGTTGTTATCGTGAAAGAAAGAGAAGAGAAAATGGACGATAGAGGAAGCTCATTCGTCGCTGTTAGGAGAATTCCCCAAGGAGAAACGTGCCATTCGAATTCTGGTATTTTTTTTCTCCGAACAAATTAAAATTAGCGAAATTGCGAAGAATTTTCTCCGTTATTTTGTTTTTTCCTTCGTCATTTTCGCTTCTCTTCTCTCTCTCCTTTTTTTTTTTTTTGTTGCTCACTTTCGCAATAGTTGTTGTACTTGTACCACCTCCTGTTACTTTTCTCTCTCTTTTTCTTAATAATAATGATATATAGAATATATTATTATTATTAGTATTATTATTATTAATTAAATATTATATATATGGACCGGGATCGAGATCGAACCGTTTTATGACAGGCCGATTCGTAACCCGAGTTGCGTCATGTTTGCTGCTATTCTTAATTGCATTGGTGGGTGAATTAATTTTGTTTATTCAATATCTTTTATTATTTATTTATTTATTTTTTGTGTAATTTTGATTTTCACTGATACAAATTCGGACGTTGCTTTATCACCGTGAGGGTTGTCCCCGTAGATCTAGCGTTTGCGGAATTTATCATGTTATGGCAAATGCTCTTCACGTGTTGTGTTTGAAGCTCGTGTCGATGGAGTGTATTGAAAATTCTGAATAAAGCAACGTGGAGGGCTTGTATGATTAAGCGATGCTGCGTTGGTTTTTTTTTTTTTTTTTTTTAATTATTATTTTGGGTTTTAATGTGTGTGTGTGTGTGTTTCTTTGTTTGAGGGATGGTGTGGCATGTGGGTCCACATCCAGGTATAGCCTTAGTTTATGGATTGGTGTATTGGGAACAGAAAGAGTACTTGTTAATTGTTAAGGATGCATTTAGGTTACTTCTGAATTAGCATAATTAACAGCTTATTGAATAAGGTCCTGTTTGGATAAGATTTTTCACAAGCACTTCTGAATTCAAAATAAGAAGTTAAAATGAATTGACTTATATACCTCAGTTTTTTGAGAAGCTAGATGATAGAGCTTCTATAAAAGTTAAGTTGCATAAAAATTTGATTTTACTTATGGTAGAAGCTCAATTCATTTTTCTTTATTATTTTCTTTACATATAAGTGTTTCTAGAAAAGTTTATCCACTTAACACGAGTGTTTATAAATAAGCAGTTATGTGCTAGTTGTTTCTATGATTGAAGAGGAAAAAGAGTTAAACTGTTTGTTGTTAGCTGGTCTTGAGAAGTCATCCCGGAGAACTTGTTGAAATAAGTTGAAAAGTGAAAACAGTTTTATGAATATATCAGAAGTTATTTTCATAAATTCCTTCAAATACTTGTGTCATAACATAAACCTAAATAAGTTGTGGATAAGCTTTTTGGAACACTCCCTAAAGAATGGTTGGCAGATTGTGTCTTCTGCCCTGGAATTGTAATTTGTATACAGATTACAGGCGATAAAGGACTGTAGTAAGAGGAGATGGTATGGGGGGCTTTTACATGATTTATTATTATTTTAATGTTTTCTAGTTATGTTTATGAGGATTTGATTACAATAAATTGTAAATTGTGCAAACTGTTTAGCAAAAATATATAATGCTACCACTTTTTGTGTTGTTTGAAACACTACTTGTTGGTCCATTACCTTATGAAGAAATATGTAGCAAAAGAAAAAAAAATGGGTAGAATCTTCATTGATGGCAATTATTTTTTGTTACAGCTGAGGTTGTGACAGGGTCAGCTGCATGCCTTGGTCGAGGTCTGTCTTGTGTCTACGTACAAAGAAGAGATAGTGATGCTTCTAACTCTTTTGATTTAACACTAGCCAAGGTATTTTTTTTGTACATCATCACTAAAGCAGCACTTTTGCAATATAAGCGTTTTTCAATTTAGATTTGTATTGGATGATCTGTCTTATTACCAAATAACTAGCCTAGTGTTAAATTGTATTTCTGGTTATATGCTTTTTATTCTTGTTTATGATCCATATCTTGTGCATGGTTTGGGAGTGCCAGAAAATCTATTTGTAGGAGGGAATCTTGACTAGCACTGTTGTGGTTAGTGGTGCCAAGATAGTTGAGCTCCCTCTATCATATGAAATTGTGGAACACTTTCTACTTAATTTTTCCTGTTAAATATTGTTGATAATTATAGTATTAAACCACAACAAATTCCCATCGTGTTGAATTTCCAATTATTAGGAGGAATGCTTGCAGAGGATACAGAGACGTATAGATGTTCCATATGATAGTTCTATAATTGAGCACCAGGTATCTTTTTTATCGATATTCTTCAAGTCTGTGTAAACAATGTGGCAACTGTTATGATGTACGCTTCAACCTATGTACTCATAACTTTACGTGTTGTTGCTGGCTTATTACTGTATGTGCAATCTTCAATCTCTCAAGGCTGTAATTACATATTTAGGAAGCCCTTAGGGCTTTGTGGAATGCTGCATTTCCAGAAGAAGAACTTCATGGCTTGATATCTGAGCAGTGGAAGGAAATGGGCTGGCAAGGGAAAGATCCATCAACAGACTTTAGGTAGATATTGTCCTCATTTTCTTTTCACTGCCAAATCTAGAGCTCATTCCAGCTAATTTTGTTAATGATTTTCTCTATATATTTGGCAGGGGTGGTGGTTTTATATCACTCGAGAATTTTCTTTTCTTTGCTAGGAATTTCCCGGTAAGATTTCTTTATTCGTTTGTTCACTCTTGTCTGATTTTGTAATGAATAGATGACTTATGTTGACCAAAATTAAAGTTTAGAATGGAAAACCTGATGTTATGAGTGACAACTTATCCTAACAGCCAGAGAAAGTAACAGGGAAATTGTATTAGTATTTCTTCCAGAAGAAGCCTTGAGTTTCTAATATTGAAAGGGACTTCTGTAGATAACTAGATATAGTGTTGTTGGTGGGAATTGATTTTTGAAGAATAAGTATTTCCCATTCATAGTGATGTTTTCAGATGAAGCGTAAATCGTGATGTAGGAAATGAAGTCTACTCAATAATTTAGCAAAATGTCCGTGTAGATCTAAAGAAAATTCTTGTGTTTGAACTTTCTCCGTGATAGAAGAATTGTGGCCATATTAGTATATTCTCTTGCTGTCTTTGATAGAAAGGGTCTAGCAAGTGAGATTGCATTATCTATATACCTATTATAAAGGGGATAAGTTTTGGTAACTATCCTTTTGATTTCCATTTTTGTATTGGACACTATTACCCGTAGATTTAACAATCATCTTCTTTCAAACAACAACAACAACAACCAAGCCTTTATCCCACTAGGTGGGGTCGGCTATATGGATCAAACGACGCCATAGGGATCTATCATAAATCATCTTCTTTCAAAATTCCTTCAAAAATAAATTGTGCCTCTTTTCTTACTAGTAGACAATAATGGTGTTTAAATTATTTGATATGTATTTTTGCCATGGCCTTTCTTTTAAATTACACCTACTTTAACAATGTCTCTAAAATATGATGTCATGCAAGTCAGTGGTAAACTTTACTCCACTATTCACCAATAATATCCGGGCCCAGGATCAATGTAGACTTGATATTTATCAAGTCATATTAGTATCTTGCTTTCTTTCATTCTAATGAACAGTTGTCTATTTTGTTTTTAGGTCTTGATATTTATCTTGACATATTGTAGTCTTCCAGGGCTCATCTAGATTCTTTTTTGGATAGAAAAAGTAGTAGTATAATTATCTAGGAGGTAAGAATTACTGGAGAGAAAATGATATTTTCTAAAAGAAAAAACAGCTGAAATAATGATGAATATATAAGGTCCGTAACAGAGGAAAACAGGAGAGGCGATGACCTAAAACACTCATAATAAAAGATTCTCCCCACATAAATCTGCAGAGAAGGAAATTAACCCTGAAACAACTCTCCCTTAGTCTTCTTCAAAAAGACAAATTTGAAGATTACAAAAGGGAACATGTCTAATCCTCGTAATTCCCTTAGGCCTTCCATACTCAACAATGATACATGGACACCTCAACAAACACTTATTTAACAGTTAACACGTCTGTTTTCTCTCTAACTCTCTTTCTTGTAACATCATATCACCTATCATATTGTCACTGCTCCCTCTTGTGTGTCTTTTTCTCTCATGGTGTAGACTAGCTTTTGGTGTCCACAAAACATTATTCTTCCATAATTTATTGGTGTAGCTAACCTTAAAGTCGTTTTTGTACTGGTTTCCACAAAACATTGTCACTGCTCCCTTGTTACCCTATTGATTTATTGTTGTTAATCAATTGTTGTTTTGATCCCCAAGAACTACTAAAAGCTTTCTGCCAACCTTAAATCTAATCAGTTGTTTCCATTCATGTATCTTTATCATATCTTTTTTTATTTTGTTAGAAATCCTTCCAGGATCTTTTACGAAAGCTGGAAGGAGATCGATCAGTGTGGGAATACCCATTTGCAGTTGCTGGTGTTAACATCACATACATGCTGATACAAATGCTTGATCTTGAAGCAGGTTTGTTTTTTCTCCTGTTATAACTTCTTTGTTCTCTGTTTTTATCATGTCTCAAATGAAGATTTGGATTGCTACGTGTGTATGTGTGGCCAACTTTCTTTATGTATAATGTCATGTCAATTTCCAAGAGCACCCATGATGAATCTACATAAAATTTAAAGTGCCCTTTCAATTTTTGTACGTTGACATTTTACTTTTGCATAAATCGGTATAAGAAAAGTCACCTGCTATCGCCATCTGAATACATTGAATCAGCAACAGTTTTCTAATAATATGCTTTTTGCCTTTACAGTGAAGCCACGCAATCTGGTTGGAGCAACTTTTCTAAAATTTCTTGCAGGTAGCATGAACTCTCCCCTTTTAATCTGTTATTTTACTTTTCTTGAATTTGGAAGGGGATAAGGGAGGGTTGGAACTTAAGTCAAAATTAAAAAGGTTTATTTAAACGTTATAGCTTTAACTTGCTAGTTGCAGTCTTCATTTTATCCTAGCTCGCTGTTTTAAGTAACTAAATGCGTTCTTGTTTGTCTGACAGAAAATGAGTCAGCTTTTGATCTTCTCTATTGCATAACTTTCAAGCTAATGGATCATCAATGGCTTTCCATGCGTGCCTCATATATGGATTTTAATGTACGTATTCTATAACCTCAGCTTGCTGTAGAAATAGAAGTTTATGGCACAAGCAAATTTAAGTTAGAAGTTTGATAAGAAGGAAGGGTTGAAGAGCAAGAATAGAGAACTAGAAAAACTAATCGATCTTTCAATTAGATTGAAGATATCTCTGAATTGAGGACTAGTTTGAAAAAAATTATGCGAAGATTTACTCTGCTTGGAGTACTTTATTGGGTAACTGTCATGATCCCTTTTTAACATAGAAGTTATAGGGGGATCTATCATTGATTAAATTAAGTGTCTTAGAGGGGTACTTCATGTTTTTCTTAGCAGCTGACATTTACTTCCTAGCTTTAGATTGCTAGTTACCATCTATTAATGTAGGTCTATTTAAATTTCTTTAGAAACACTAGGGAAAAAAATAAAAATAAAAATCCAAATAAACTTTTTCACAAGCTCAAACTAGCTTATACTTAAGTTAAAAAAGGATTTGGGAGAAGTTAAAGGAGAGAACTTCTACAAATTAACTTATGTATAAGTTAATTTTAGCTATAGTGAAGTTTATTTTTCTTTTCTAGAAGTACTCACTTTACCCAAACAAATCCTTTGGTCTTGTTGGGATAATCTTCTTTAGAAGTATTTTTAAGAGAAAAAAATATGAAGGAAAATATTAGAGTTTTTTCACAAGGTAAAACTGTTTTATACATAATTTTAAAATTAAATTTTAGAGAAGCTAATAGGAGAGTTTTTACAAATTAGTATATGCACAAGCTAATTTTAGCTTATGAAGAACTCATTTCACATTTCTTTCCTAATTTTCTTTTTCCAAAGTACTTGTAGAAAAGTTTACCGTAATAGTAACAAATGTTACTTCTGCTAATATATCTATTACTTCATATTTCGACAGGCAGTGATGAAGGCTACACGACGTCAGCTAGAGAA